CTTCTTACAATGCGAACTTTTCTCTTCCACGTTGAATCCACATAATTAAGGCAGAACTTAGGATATTCCAAGACTTGCTGTCTGACTCGAATAAAAAGAATATTCTGTGTCGAACATATTTAAAAACACCTTATTTTTTAAAATTTCGGCAACTGAGCCAGCATTTATTTTAAATTCACTCTACTTTTAAGATCTAAGAGGAAATAACTATACTTTTGTGGGTAGCTGTATTTATAAATGCATGAAACTACTTCATAAATTTGTCTTACCATTGTTTTTTTCCTTTGGCTAGGTGTATTTTGCCAATATTGAGGAGCAGCAGACCGACCACCAGGACTGCTCATCTGCTGGACCGACTGACGACAGCACTTTGTTGATGCGGTCTCATTTCAGCGCAGAAACAGGCAAAGCTTCTAATCCTGCCTGCCTCGAAGGAGGGCCTAGCGATTCGAGTGAAGCAGTCATCTCAAGTGCATGTGAAGCTGGCTTGGTGACTTCGGGTCGTCGCGTCGTCGACACACGACGCCGCCGAGGGGCGCCAGCCGGGACCAGCTCAATTGCAGCCGTTGGTACGCTGGGACCCGGAGGCCGGACGTCGATGGGTATGGGTGCAACCTCATCGCCTATTGTCCTTCGGCGCCGAAGGCTGATTTCTGGTGGGCAGCGCGAAAGGCCACTTAGTGCAGTAGAACTTGATGTAGAGATAGACAACCTTCTGGACGATCTTTCAATGGACTGTCTGGATGGCCCGATGGCGTTGGCCTCAGCCGACTCCATTTCGCCACCCCGAATCTCAGGTCTGACGAGCTCAAGCGCGGCCACCGCATGCGAAACTATGCCGCCAGCGGGTAGCCCGAAAACGCCAAATGGTTATAAAACCGAGCTGCTCTATCCAGACTTGCCGTGTTTAGAGTCCAACGCAAGGATCTGCCGCCCGAGGAGAATGGCAATCCAGCGTCATTTCAAACGATGCTACCTGGTGCTTGACAAAGCCCTCAAGGTTAATGTTTACAAGGTGGGTTAGAATGACATTTTTCACAATACTCGCTCTAGGTTATCTTCTTTAAATTTATTTGCGGGTTATATTTTGGGATAGACAGCTCAGATATAGCGATATGAATGTGCGAAGTACAAGTCTCCGAATCTCCCTAGACTTGTGTTTCTGCAGCGAAAACGAAGCAAGGAAAACACGAGTAATACGAACCTCCAATCCTCGTGCATAACAAGTATGTGTACACGATATTATTATTTTAACAAATCAAATTTTGCTTAGTTTTCTGTTGCTACCATATATTTTTTACTCTTGTAGCATAAACAGCATTAAACAGTTAAACTATAGGGTTTTGAGCGTGATGGGTAATTCGTAGCTATTCACTTACCATTAAGCATAAGTAGGCAGAGAATTTTAGTAAAACGTAGTTTATTAATATCATTTTATGTGAGAAAGTTGCAAGAAGGGATTAGGGACATTCCTTTATACTGAAGACCGCTCTAACTTACTGTACTGGGGACTCGTCAATTGATGCATTTTAGTATGGAATAATGAACACAAGTCTAAGCATGCTCAGTCGAAATCCAGATTTCATTTTTAAAAGGTCCCCTTAAGTATAGTGAAATACACTTCAAATGTTTGACAGTACTTTTGTGCGG